TTTTTTTACCTTTATCAGAAAATAAACTGGTATGTATGTTGTTTTTTAAAGGAATCAAAATTCTGCCTTTACTTTGTCAAAATATTTTCTCACTGGAAATAGGTCCAAGCCTTCTACCTTCGTTGACCTCTAATTTTATCCAGGGGCCAATCTAATTTAAGTAGCGGGTGAATTATTGCTGATAGTGAATATTCATCTTTATAAAAGTATTTGAATCTAATGAAACAAAATATAATATAAATTATAAACAATATTTAAACTGTATACCTTTTATCTATGTCTTGCAGGATTAAATTAATAACTGGCTTACAAAAGTTAAAATTATTTAAAGCATTTTTTTTTAAAGTTTTAATATTAAAAAAGTTATCGTGGGAATGAGATATCCCAAATGTTCTAAAATCGAAAGAGCAGGTTCCATAAATATAAAATCATATATAATACCTAATATCATATTTCTTAATTAAAACTAACCATACAATATTTATATGAACGACTTGTCATTATCTGAAAACTCGGCAATTCGGATTTATCTATTCTCCTTAATAAGATAATTAAATAAAAAGAATTTCTATTTTCTCATTTTTCCCTTAAAATGGCTTCACAGTTAGACTGTCCATGTTATTCCATATTTAAGGAAATATTTGAGTTTGTATTTACAAAGTGTAAACCTTGTACCCTTAATTTTTTTTATTGGTGTTAAAAATGTTTCATAATGGGGCCAAGGCAGGTTAAATCATTTTTTATAAAATAAATTATAATATTAGAGAATAAGAATATAAATTAACATATCTTAATGATTCAATAAATTAGTTTGATAATCTTGACTGAAAATTTAGCTACGAAATTTAAATTAAAAATGAAGGAATTTGGTGGTTAATCTGACTTAAAAAGTCGGCTTAAATTATTTATAAAATTTAAAAAATAATTTTATTATACAATAAAATATGTTTTTTCCATATTTTCTAAAGAAAAAATTTAAAGTAACGTTTTGCGTTACGTTATTCAAAAAAGGTAACAAATGACGTTCCTTTGACGTTCCTTTTCTTCAAAAAAGGTAACGAATGACGTTCCTTTTCTTCAAAAATGGTACGCCGTTAGTAATGCCGTTACCTTACGGCACTATTTATAAATGTTTTAAAAAATGATGATTCATTTATTGCAATTTTTATACTGATTAATTGATATTGAATTATATTTTACTTGCAAAATAAATAATTGAACCCAGCTTGAGTTTATATTTTTAAAGCTATATCATTTTAGCCGGTTATATGGGTCGGGCTGGCCGGTCTTATTTATATGTAAGGCTCCATTTTATTTGGGTGTAAATTTTTGCTTAAATGAATGAAAATAAAATGATGACTAATAATTTGTGATATTCCTTCGTTTTGTTTAAATTGCGCAAAATGAATATAATTTTTTGACAAATTTCGCATAGGAGCAGCACATTTCAACTCCCCTAGTTAAGGTCTCTCCAATGACATATAATTTTGCCTAGAACTTTTGCCTAGAGGAGCTATTCATTCATTGAAATACATCTTAAAGCGTCTTCGAATACAAATCAGCCGGTGACACGCCATTGTTTTCTATATAATTTTTTTTATTATTATAAATGAATAAAATTTTAAATGTAAATTGTTTATAAGGGGAAACCAAAATGCCGGGCCACCAGCTGATTTGTATTGATACATATTTAAAAGAATGAATTATCGGTTTAGGTATTATTATCTGACATTAGACCCCGAAATCGAATTCAATTAGTGCCTTTTCCTTACTTTTTAGGATATATTAAGATTTTGTTTTTAAAAAAAAGAAGAGTTTGATGATTTGCTTATCTACTAGTCACCGGACTTTTCGACCCCGAACCTAGCTGCACCAGACCCGCAAAGAGAATGACTTAGGATCAGACAGTTGCCCATTTTGGGCTCCATTATCTATTGAGGCAATAGATCCTTCTTCATTTACGATGTTCATAATCATATAACTTTTTCCGAAAAATTAATTTTAACTTTTTTTTAGTTTACAAAAATGTAAATTAGCAAAACAAATGGTTGAAATTAGTAATTTCAATCAATTTATTATAGTGTTGTTTTTCTTTCAGTATATCTTTTATACAAACTTTAACTTCATTTTTGTCTACTTGCTATAATTGATCGAATACCTTTGTTTAAATAAAAGTAATTATTATTTACCCATTTTCCTTAGGGAGGAAACATTTTAATTTTTTTTTTTTGGATTTGAGGTATAACTATTTAGATGTTATAAATAATTAATGTTTTCGATTGTTCTTTCCATCTCTCTACTTAATCAATTACATATCTTTCAAAATTATAAATTTGAAAGCTTAAAAAGGTATATATATAGAATCCGAAATTCCTATTTTTTTAAAGGTATCTTTCAACTTAAACCAATTTTTACAATACATAATCTATTTCGAGAAAGAAAAGTGTTTTAATTGATTAATATATACTATATAATTTAAAATAAATAAATGAGTCTGTCTATACCTAGATTAAAAAAAATAAATAATACTGCTAGCTTGTTTAGAGTCGGAATGCGTTTAGATGAGAGTATTATAAAAAAGTCAAAACGCCCATTTTTGTTATTCTTCTTTATACTATCCTGGGCTGGGGCTATAATCAGTAATTCTCGCTGAAATAAGTACACATTTGGTTCTAATGAAAGAATAGAGTATTCAGCATACTGACATTATCATTATTTATAAATAAATTGTTGAAATAACCAATTAATAATTAATATTCGGCTGATTTAAATTTAGCATTTAAAAAATAATTTGATAGAGGAAACATGAATTTAACTGGATAGGGGGATGGGGTGGCTGATTCCTGACTAAAGTCACCGGTTCAATATTTTCAAAATATGAGAGAAATTTTTTTTGATAGCCTTGCTTGGATGCCTTGAGGAAATGGGGCATATTTGCCTTATTAATTCTAATAGCTGACTGTTACTTTATTACATTGTTAGTGCGAATTATACGAAATACGCTGTAATTTTTGTATTCTTCGCCGCGAATTCGCACTATATGTGAATGCAGTGTTATACTTTACAAAATATGTAAGGCGTTTTTTACATTTTATTTCATATGATATGGTGCAAATTGGTAAACATTTAATGTTATATTGTTACATGCTATATCCACTTAAAATTTTTTTTTAAAAAAGGCATAATACAAATGCTTAATTTGGGAGAACTAGTTGTTATTTCATGTACATTTCTCAGAATCGGTAATATTATATTCTTTTGATCTTTTGATTTGTACCTTTATTGTAGTAGATTAGCTTTTTTTATATATATTATGTATTGAGACATTTTCTAAAAAAATTTTTATATTAAGCAACAATAAAAATTAGCGGGACATGTTGGAGATATACGATCGCGAATTACTATGCTTGTTGAAGAAAAATTAAGAGTACTGCTGATGAGAGATCTGGCCTTCTAACCCTCACTTCTAATAATGAAGAATCACAGACATAAATCTCCTGGACATAAAGAGATGGAGAAGTAATTATACTGGATATAATTACATGCGACAATACCCCATTTTTAGAAAAAAAAATTAAATTATTTAAACAAAAATTTTTTTTAGGGTGTGCCCTGGTTCGACTTATTTTTGGTATTGGATAAACAGCTTAGGACACCCTACTTTGTTTTGTTTTAAGTGTTTGGTGATATTGTTATTTTTCTTATTTTTTTCTTCGTTTCTTTCTCTCTTACTTTTTAAGCTGTTTAGTCGAACCAGGACACACCCTAATTTTTTTTCTCGAAATTTGGGGTATTTTGGTCCATGTAATTTTGTTTTTAGGTTACGGGTGTCCATACTTTTCTCCGGGACTTATTGTCCAGGATATTTATATCAGTGATCCAAATACCGCCCTGCTATTATCTCAGAAAACGCTCTTAATAAGTTTGTATTTGAATAAGTTTTTCCCTTATATTTTCTCACGAAATAGCGTGTTTTAAATGGTTAAGAACTATTTTTTTTATTTAAAAAAATCCTAAAAGTGATCCAATGAGTTTCGGTTTAAATACAGAATTCTCCCGAATAAAGAAAATTTCACCGAACCGCTCAAGGCCAGCTTATTTATGACCATTTTTTTTCTTTGATTAGTAAAGTAAAAAAAACTATAATTTGTAAGAGCTTATAAATATTATAATTTGGCCTGATAATTTATCATTAATGACACTAATAAATCATATAATTTTATTCGAATAATTTTTCTCTCAATATATACAAATTTTTTTTCTTATATCTAATCACATTATTAAAACAAAAAAAACTTAATTAACAACATCTAAAATAGTGTTTTTTAAAAAAAAATGTATTTCTTCATCCATAAAATTACTCATATTCTTATTTCCATAACATACCAAAAAGAAAGAAAAGAAAATTTAATGACATTGAAATTTTATTTTCTTTATTTTGTTAAATAAAACTTTTATATAATTATTCGAAAGATTTGACAACAATATAACATTTTTTTTAAAAAATATTTCCAAGTTTTTAAAATATGGGAGGTGGGGGTGTGGCAATTCCTATTTATTAAAAAAAAATATATATTACAAACGGATGAGGTTGTTGAAAAATTGATACTGATTTATGATCAAGAAAGGATGTAAAAAAATAAAGGGACACGTGACTCTTATTTATTTCATTTTTTAGCGCACTACGTCATTATAATAAATGATGACGTGTTATTTTGCCTTTTTGCCAATGTTCATTGATGATACTTTGTCATTTGCTCATTTTATTAGATGCTTACACACTCTTCATGAACCTCTAACTGGATAAGGGAGGGGGGTTGACTATGATACAAGTTAGCATTGAAATTTTATTGGGGGGCAGGGTATCCAGTCAACATATATTAATATACATTTTATATTTTAACCATCAGGGATTGGCTTAATCTAAAGGGCACTGACTTTGCTATCCCTTCTTCTCATAGGCATTTTATCTATTATTAACTTAATTTTTTCTAATACAGAAGCCACGGACCCGAATTGGGTGGGAGCCTGGTGGATGGGTTTTTTATTTTCCGTTCTCTTTTCTTGGGTGATCTGCTTACCCCTATCCGGATTTCCTACCACCTTCCCCGGCATGTCGCAACTATTCGCCACCAGGCCTAGGCAACCTTTCAGAATTTCTAACCTCAAACCGGATCGCGATAACACCAACCTAGACTCCCAGACTGGTAACAAGAAAATCATGGTTCTTCAAAAGTCAAAAAATGACGACAACGATTCACGGAAACCAATTGACGAACTCCCCTTAGGTCATTATTTGTTAGGGAAATATTTTTTTAAAAAAATCACAAATTTGAATTTCGTTTAGTGGTATTTTTTTTTGATAGAAAAAGTTAGGAGAGGGGGGGGGGGTTTAAAATATATTTTTTTGATATTGAATATAATTTTTTTTTGATTTGAGACCTAACTGGTCTATTAATGTACTTTGTGTTTACCAGCGATGAGCTTTCCATTTTCCAAAATTATCATGTCACTTTCCATAAACATCACCTTTTGAACAATTTAAGGCGTTCATTTATCGCCATGATTTTTTTTTGATCATCAATTATAATCCGATAAATATATTTGTGTATTATTTTTTTAAATAACTAATCGGGCTTGTTAAACGATCCTTTTGCGATCTATGCAATTTGCCAAAAAAATAGGATCCTATCCTTTTAACAACTTTTGTAATTTATGCATAAAATTCTTTAGATACATCAACTATCATCCATACGGATGATTCTGTGAAATCCGAAGATAATGAGGGCTTAGGCTGGTTCCCGTCAATCATGAATCTTCTCCAGAATCGAGCCTTTCTCTTCGTAACTCTTGGTGGTTCGGCTGACGGTCTATTTCTCAACGGGTTTTCTGCCTTTTTACCCAAATATCTAGAAATACAATTTGATGTACCCTCCAAAACCGCAGCACTTTGGGTTGGGGTCGTTACAATTCCCGCTGGACTGATGGGAATGTTTTTAGGAGGGTAATGCTAATTTTTTTATGACTTAAATTATTTTCGTTTTTATGAATTAAGAAACTATAAATATCTTTTAAAAAAAGAAAAGTAACTGTGTCCGTTATAATTTAATTTTACATACTTGGAAAACATAATTAATTTTTTAAAAAAAATTTAAAATGGAATTAAATTAGATAAGGAATACAGATACTAATTACAAAAAAGGAACTATCATCAGCTATTGTTGTTAAACGGCTCGATTTGAGTCGATTTTTTAAAACGACTAACTCAATATTTTAGCCGATTTCGCGAATAGATGTCCGAACCATTGTGCCAATCTATGACCAAAATCAGACTTGCGTAATATTTTTCTGAATAAAATATTGAGTTAGCCGTTTTTGAAAATCGGCTCAAATAGAGCCGTTTAACAACACTAATCATCACTAATCTAATATACTTATCTGTTAAAATTAAATAATTACTAATTACATACTAAATTTTTTTTTAAATATGAACTATAAAATTGCAAGTGTGGTTTAAATAACCTAATTTTTATAGTCGGAGTCATAAAAAATTCGGCTCCAACTCGAGCCGCCTAAGGAGCCTCATAACCCTGAATTCATACTCATGTCGTCGGCTCACTTAGCTAGCCGACTACAAAAAAATAGTAATCAATTTTAAAGCACAATTTTAATTAAAAAAAAAATTAAACGCAAATGGTGCCCATTTTAGGTACCTGATCCAGAGATTCAACGTTAATTTGAAGAATATGTTGAAACTAGTATTCGTAGCTTCGTTGTGCAATTTCGCCTGCATGTTCGCTCTCTTGATTTATTGTCCCGAAAGTTATCTCGCAGGGATCAACCACGAATACAACTGTACTTATAACATTACATAAATTATTATCGTTGGGTGCCCGTATCGGTGTCGGTTTAAAAAAGGAGTGGTATCGATACATCTCCAATTTTAAGGGAGGGGAAAGGGAAGAAGGAAACACAAAAGAAAATAAGAATTGTAGAAAATGAAACAAAAGAGGACAAAAGGAAAAAGAAAGAAATGATAAAATGGGGAGAAAAAAGAGAGTTTATTCAACTGTCTTATTTAAAAGCGTAATATGCATAAGATCACATTATTTTTTAACGGAATTTTTACCGATTTTAGATTATTTCGTTAAGCTGGCATTCATTCATTGTTTGTCATTCGCTGTTTATAGTTTTTTAATTATTGAAGGCATATTTACCAGCCACGATATAACTAAATATCAGACAAAGATAAATGAATGAATGCTAACTTTAAACGGAAAAACCCTACAAATAATCATATAAATCACTTGACCTAAATAAGCAAACAATTTTTAAACTTATAAGAAAAGTGTAATAATTGTTTAATTATTAAAGTTATATAATGAGAAACAATAATATATTTTAACATCGCCAGAGGACATTATTACCAACGTTTAATAATAACGTTGCCTATTGCTCAATATTTGTAGGGGTCAACAGACCCGGGATAGATCGCACCACATCCGAAAAAGATTTCAAAAAAAAGTGGTAGGTTGCCATCAGATCGAGACTTAGAAACTAAATGAAATCCAGTTACCTTACTGGTCAGAATCGATACTGTCCGAGCGATCTGAACCGGTCCTATGACCTTTACTACTCAAATATAATATGAAAATCGTAAAATATTGACGATTTCTAAATGCACCAATATCGCTGCTAAATCCTAAATCATATATTAATTTAAGCCTATATTTCTATCATTTTAAAAATATTTCCCAATTATATTAATAAAATATTATTTTTAATTCATCAATTGCCCCATGACTAGGGGGCAGGGGTGTTATTGTGGGCTAACTAACCCCCACCAGCTACGAATTTATTTACAAATATTTTTTCAAAAAAAAAAATTTTCAAAGTTCCTACAATACCGGAAGAAGCTCATCTACCTCCTCCCGCATGGTTATATTTATTTGATATTTTCAGTATATCTGTATTGTATATCCCTTTTATCATTCACATGAGGGGTTAAGCAGCTCATAATAATTTATAAGACATTTCAAAATATAATGTTTGATAGTATTTTTTATTAATATCGGTTCGATTCATGTCTAGGTTCAATGTTGAGCCGTATACAATTAAAATATTTTCAAAATTCACTTCTGTCAAATTATTACCAATAAAGAGGAATAATATATTTTATGGCTGAGAACACTTCTATATATACTGACTCGGATAGCTGACATCGTCAAATAGTAATATACAAAAATATATAAGAACGATTACTACGATTACTGATACTTATCAGTCAATCCTGATTTAACCATCTTTAAAAGGGTTAGAATGTTAGAAGGTTCAAACTGGTTCACCTGCTATTTTAGTAGTGTTGTTAAATGGCTCGAGTTGAGCCGATTTTTAAAAACGGCTAACTCAAGATTTTAGCCAGAAAAATATTGCCAAAGCCTTGAGATTTCGCTAATATATGTCCAAACTTTTGTGCCATCTATGAGAAAATCTTCAGGCTTACGTTATTTTCGTTTGGATAAAATATTGAGTTGGCCGTTTTTAAAAATGGGCGCAAATCGAGGTTTAACAACACTATATTTTAGAGGTTCAACTCAAGTTCGGGGGACAAATTTTTTTAAAGGCTCAGATCTTGTTTGGATTAGGTAAATAATGACGGTTAATACCTATTTCACGGTTTGGTTCAAGTTCGGTTCGAATCCCTATTTTTAAGTGTATACTATGTATTTAAAAAGAATTTAGCCCAATCAGGGCTATTAAAAATTGCCCTCAGGTTTTCGCAAATTAATTTTTAAACTTTAAAAATCATTTATATTAGTGATCTGCACTAAGCTTAATTTCCTAAACCCGGCTCGAAATTTTTTTTAAAAAATTTGTCCGTCCCGATCCCGAACGAATTTTTTTTCATTTGTCCCGAAAAGCCTAAGCCCGATCCGGCCCGGTCCAAAATTCAAAAAAATGTTAGGCCCGATCCAGCCCGAACCGAAATTATTATTTTAAATAGGCCCGGCCCGCCACCGGTGATTTACAGATCTCTAATTTATATCGCTCGTTTAAAAAAAATTCCTGATTTTACCAGAATCGTATTTTCCTTTATATATAGAGTTTACACTGAATTTTATAAGAAGTTAAATACGTTCAAGCGATGCGAAATTAATTGTTATCAAAATCGCAGCTTTGTTTACCATCGCATCGCAACATATGGTTTTCAGGTGATATAATTTTGCTCAGTATTTATAAAATTATCACCTATAATTGGCTTGATTATGTAAATTAATTAACGGAAGATATCGCATCGCTTGAACGAATCTCGATTACTATAAATGCAGCGTTAACTAGTACATAACTTCTGCTAATTTCCGACAACTTTGCCATAATTTTTTAAACTTCTTTTAAAACTGGGGGAAAATTAAATATTTGTATATAATATATTGTATAAACGTCCCCAACCGTAAAATAGTTAAGAAAGAAAGAAAGAAAAAGAAAAGAAAGAATTTAATATATAACCAAAATGTTTAAAGGAATGTAATGCTATTTATAAACAATCGTATATTTTATTATATGTACTGAAAAAAGAGAGAATAGAATGGTCTTCTTCACTAGCTCCTTTACATATACAATTTTATTTTATCTTGGTCATAATCAATGAAAACCAAAAATTTTGGGAATTTAAGGATTTTTAATCTTTATAGAGGTATTATTTAAGTTTATCGCTGACATGAATTTAAAAAAAAATAGATTAAATTAAACTTCCCCCATGATCCTTAATTTTTTTTTTTTTAAAATATATATTTTTTTCTCTCATTCATTCCTTTCTTCATCTCTTTTGTTTCCCTCTCTTTCATTCATACTCTCATTTTTACTTTCACCTGTTATAGGCATTTTAAAACTCTTTTAAACTAACGATCAGGTTCAATGGTACTGTTACGTTCCCAAGATCACAAGGCATAGAGTCGATACGCTCAATCGAACTTGCCAATCCTTGTAACGGTCATTGCGAATGCATGCTAAAATATCAACCGGTTTGCGATGTCGACCGAAGCCTGACTTATCATTCCGCCTGCTATGCCGGGTGCTCGGCTCAAGCTAGCAAGTTAGAATCAGGCGCCGACAAGGTAATTCTTATTTATTTCATTCTTTTCTTATTTTATTTTGTTCATCCCTTTCGTGATTATATTCTTCTTTTTTTTTAAAAAAAGGAGCACCCCCCCCCCCCTTTTAAAGTTTGCTTCAATAAGAAAACCTAAAAATCGTGTATATCTTCGTATCTTTTATATAGTTTTATAATTATGACCAATTATCAGGAAAGTGCACGACGTTGAAAAATGCCAATCATTAATTTCTCAATATTTTTTTAAGGGAATCTTAATATAATTTTTTTTTAAAGGACCTCCGCTTCGATTTAAAAACGATATTCAGGGCCTTTATTCAAACTTTTCGCTTAGGAGGTGCAATAGGGGTTCAACTCTTTTTTTTAGATATGTTATATTTTGACCATATTTCTTTCGGTTTATATTTTCCCATCTCATACGCTAATAATTAATAGATTCAATTATGTATTTTTTAAATGTGATTCATAAATATCATAGAAACAAGAATTAACCAATGATTTTTCCTAAAGGGGAGGTGGGGGATTTCAAATATTAAATCACAGGATATTTTTTCGTAATAAAAATCTCACTTTATAGGTTATAAGTTTAAAATAAAATAATAATTTGTAAAATATTTTGCCAAGGCCTATAAATATTCCGCACAAGTAACATAGTATGGATAGATGGCTAATTGCTGGTGTTGTTATATGGCCAGATTTAGGACGGTTTTTTTTTAAAACGGCCCGATTAAAATTTTAACCAAAATATTATTATGTAAGCGAGATTTTGTAATTAGAGATCCAAACCTTTCTGCCAGCTGTGAGCAAAATCTCCAGGTTTACATAATATTATTTTGGCTAAAAATCTTATCGGGCCGTTTTTTTAAATGGACCCAAATAGGGCTGATTAACAACACTACTAATTGCCTATTAAACTCATGTTAAAAAAATGAAGTCGTAATTTGTATACCCTAAAAACCGAAAGCAATATATTCTTTATAATTTGGATTTTACAGATTATTATTTGCATTAAAGTGTTGTGTCCAGGGCTTTGAACCGAACCCGGAGCTGTAAACCGGGTTCAAAGGGTATTTTTTTACGAACCTATTTTTAAATGTTGGGATTTAGTCATTTCGGGAAAAGGTTTTTCTTCCTTAAGGTTTGGGTCGGAAAAAATGGTCTCTTGTTTATATCTTACAATCTTATATCATCAATTTAGTTTAACGGCAACTTTCTGAAGTGTCGAGTAATTTTTTTGGATTCACTTTTTTTTATGAATAAATAAGCTAACTAATGCATCTTTTTATATTTTATGAATAAAGTTAAAATATAAAAAAATTTAAATAAATGACTGAATTAGTGTTATTAAACGGCTCAGTTTTTTTTAAAAATACGACCAAAAAGTGGTTTTCACAATCAATATATCAAGGATATGAACCGAACCGAAAACCATTTTTATATATTAAAACAGAAAACGGGTTTGATTAGGTTTCAAGGACAAGATGTGATGTTAAAATAAACACATTATTTGTTTCCTTTCTATTTTCATCATGCTTTTTTAATTCTCATTCGGAATAATGTCTTGCATTTTTTTTTCTCCTATTGATCAAAAATGTGTATGAAACTTTTTTCACTCGATACATGGTTTCAATAATATTTTACCTTTATTAACCCAATTGCATACAATAATCGTAAAAATAACTTGTTTATTTAATGTATGAGTCATGGGTATCTGCTCAATACTTATAATAATTATAATATGCTTTTACTAACTACTCAAAAGTAAAAATTCTTCAAAAAAATTTTGATCTTTAAATTGTAAAAGCAGGATTTTTGATTAAAATAATATTTTTGTAGGTTGTGTCCTAAATAGCAAAAATATAATTAGTAAACTTTCAAAACTTTAAAGATAAAAAAAGGAAATAAGATATATTTAATATAAAAAAAATATAAACATATCAATATAATTCTATAAAATTTTAAAATATCAAAATTTTAACACACGATTTTTGTTTTAAATTTATTGTATTTTTGCCAATTTTTAAACCAGATTTAGGACACAGCCTGAGTCTTTCAATGATGAAATCACAAGATATTATTGTTCTTCGAAGCTTTTTATTAATTTTGGGCGAAAAATTCTTCTTCTTCTCCGTTTAATGACCAGTTTCCCTTCTGATTATCCTTCTCCATTTTTGATGGCCCTGAACACCAATATCCCCCAAAAATGATAATTAACTCTCATAAATTAAAAGCAAATTTTTTTTAGAGGGGGGATTACAATTAAAAGTTAAAAATTTATTGCTACAAACTTTCTAAACATAGACGATGTGCTAATAAAAAGAGTTCTTTTTTTAATAAAAATCTTAATTTTACTTTTCATAGGCTGAGTATTATAGTGTTCTATCATTCACATTTTTTTTAAATACGCTTCCATTTTTTTCCTCGATAAACCGATTCTTTATAGCGTATTCTTTCCCAAAATCAACAATAAGAATATTAAAATATAAATTTGAATAATCCTTTATTCGTGGTTATATCTCCATTTTTTAAAAAATGTTCTCCTGATATAGAAAAACCATGACGCTTCACCCGACGTTTCATAAATTTATTATAAATGATATATTATATATATTATATATTTTTAAAGAAAATGTTTTATAATTAATCGTGTCAAGTTTTTCAAGGATTGCTTATGCATCGCTTCCCGCTCGCCTTCATTATTTTCTACAATATCCGCAACACCTCCCCATGGACGACAGGAATTCACGTTTTCAATTACACCCCCACCAACACGAGGCACAAGACGTATCCCCGGTACCCCGGAACACCAGCCTACCACGAGACGCCCGCCTATCCCGGGATTCCCGGATACTAGCAATTTTAATGGCGTAGCTAAATCCGGGAAATGCAATGTAAGATGCGGGCAAGGCCTTAACAAATTATTTTCCCCGAGAAGAATACAATCACAAACGATCGATCCCGAAGAATGGAAGGAAGCTTACGAGGGAAACGCGTCGCGATACATGATCGTTTTTTTGTGCTTCATGTTCTTAGCCCTTTTTTTTCTGTTGATGGTGGCTGTGATTAGCGTGAATGCCACTCTCAAGTAAATTTATCATTATTTATTTATTTTCATAAGCAAGGAAAAAAATTTTGGAACAGCTGATACTTATTAAGATAGATTGCTTTACAAAAAGTAGATCTTGAACTTAAGAGTAATGAAAAAAATATTTTGGATATCTTACTAAAAAATTCAAATAAAAAGATGGTGATATTTTGAACTTTTTGATATCATTATTTTTCAGGGCTGGTCTAAAAAAAAATGGTACAGCTACTACTGGATACAATATATTACTTTACAAAAAATAATCAGTTTTCAACTAAAATGTGAAAAATATTGGATAGTTGCTTTATTTAAAAAAAAATAAAAATAGTGATAGACTTTGTAAAACTTCTTTGTAAATGGGAGGCGGGGGATATCCTTGAACTTTTCAATATCATTATTTTTCAGGGGAACAGCTGATACTGAATACAATATATTCCTTTACAAAAAATATATGCATTACTCTCATTCGATCGATTCGAATTTTTGAATCAAGATCGAATACTTATATAATTTTGTATATCAATATTCGATTCGTCGAATATATATTTTTAATTTTTTTCATTATTCGCATTCGAACCGAATTAATAGATTCGGATCGAATAAGATAACAAATACATCTTTTTACAAGCTGCTCTTACCTTGTATTGAAATGGTCTGTTATGGGTTATATCTATACGATATTACATAATGAAAAATAATGATATATTAAATTATATTAATAACCCCCCCCCCCCCCATTATTTTTCCCACTTACCAATATGTGTTTTATAGAATAGATAAACCTGATGGAATATTTATAAAAATGACGACCGAGTTATTATTTCGAAATGGGGGGAATTTTATTTTTTAAAAAATTATTTATTATTACGCGTAAAAAGTGACGAATGACACCATTCTTTGTAAATTATATTCTAATATATAAATTCGAATAATAGATGCGTGGAAAGTTCCGAAAATTCTTTGGCCATGGGAATTCAATGGGTGTTTGTTAGACTTTTAGGTTCGAAAAATTATATTACGAAAATAAAAATATATATTTCTATTGAAAAAGGTTTTTTTTAATCCCGCCACCATAAAATTTTAATTCAAATTTCCTCGTCCTGGCCCGTAAGACCCGAAAAATATTTTTCGCAAGTAGCCCGATTAGCCCTATTTTTTTAGAACCTGGCAGGGTATCATCACAATTTTTATTCGAATTATAATTTACACGTCTGCTTGATATGCGTATCCCGCTTGTGTAATTACATCCAAGTAATAGCCAGGATTTTGCTAAGGGTGGGGGGGGGGTGAAAGCACTATTAGATGGGGGTTTTCCTCATAAGTTTTATTGTAGATCTTAAGGTCCATTTATTGTAGGTCTTTGGCTATATTAGATTTTTTTAAAATAATTTTGGGTTTTCATCTTTTTTTTTAAAATAAAACTTTTGAATTATAGACGTTATTTTAAAAATATTAATATTTCTCTCAAATTCTTCTTTATTGTTATATTATTTATATACATTTTTTGGGAAAAGGTGGGTGGGGGGGGGGGGTGTATGTAGGAGGAATATTTTTTAATAGCTTAAAAGTATATTTACGAGAATAAGCAAATTTTCAAAGGCTTAGACCTCCTATTTTTACGTTCATATTTGAGGTGGCTCTAGCATAATTGGGTTCGATTAAACCAGAATAGACTATGTTAGTAGTAAATTAAACACAGGTATATAGATAGTGATTTTATTGTAGTAAATTCCAATTTTGTAGTAAAAATTACATTTCGTAGTGATAATATTTTTGTAACCAATTTGCAAAATAAAATAAATATTATTAGCGAATAAATATTACCAAAATGATTATGTAATATTAACTTGTATATAAATAACATAAATCATATCATGTTAAATCAATTATCCAATTAACAAAATAAGGAAAATATAAAATAAACAATTTAAATGTAATTTATACATTTGCAAACTATATTACAACAGATTGGTTAATATTTTTTATCCAACCAACTGGAACAGGGATATCAGCCCTTCGAAAAAAACATGGTTCGGGTTCAGTGATAAAAATTTAGGGTTCGCGTTCAGCTGGAGTGCATAAAGAAATATTGACTCGATATTAATAAAATAACACTATTTTTTCATTTTTTTTTATTCTACTCCATAGAAAAATAATTTACTTACGAAAAATTTGGATTTTATTTTACATTCTTTATTGTAAGTTTTTGTTCCAATTTTACCTTCTAAGATATAAAAACAAGAGATACAAATTCCTTTTTATATTATTGCACACTGCTCAACGATTAAAAAAACGTCTTTATAAAATAATCGTAGTTCATATTTGTAATATTTTTGACAGATATTTTGTATCACCGTTAACATATTATTAGTAGTAATTAGTCAAATAATGTTTCTATTATTGCATTTCATAAAATCTCATTATTTTTGAATTCACAAGATTATGTCAAAATAATAAAAATAAACATTTATTGCATGTTCTTGTCCCAATTTCACTTTCTAAAATTGACATAAAAACAAGATTATTATAGACTACATTTAAAATAATCGCCATAGCCTTAATGAAAAGGTTAAATATTTCATGTATACAAATTTTTTTATATTTTATTTTAAATCGCATATAAATATAAATTGCAAGATATAAAAATTTTTCAAAAAGATATATTAGAGCTACGATTCTTAGCCTGATTATTATTTAGAGCTATAATTCTTAGTTCCAATTTTTATTAGAGTATATATATACATATATACATAATTCCTTTCATACAAACTTATTAATGTTTCCTCTTTTTTTAAAAAATAAGGTGTATATACTCAAAACGATGAAGCAACTTTTAAGTTTTGTTTAAATAAACACCGTCAGGAAACATATTTGTTGCAATTCCAATACGGGTAGAATAAAATAAAAAGAGTTTGTTAAATTTTAACACAATTTCGATTTAATTAACATAAAAAAATAAAATAAGAATAATATTCTCCCCTCCCCCCTCCCTGAAAGAAGCAACAACCAAAAATAATTATATTATTTAGAGATTCATATATAAATGAATGTAAAAAAATTAATTAAATATACTAAACAATTTTTAAAATAATAATATTATAATATGAAAATAAAGTAACAAGAAAATTTCCGTGAGATGGAGCATTTTTAAAATATAATTTATTTTTATATAACAAAAATAGCGGTTTAATTTTCAACAAATATATATTTTTTAATATAAGATGATATAAATTTAATAATTCATGTAAAAGTTTTTTGTATTTTTTTTAAGAAGAATAGATAAATTACAAAACGAAAAATAAAAATTAAATATAACTCCATATAATTCATGAAAACATAAAAGTTTACAAAAAACAGGAAAATATGTTTTATATAATGTGGAAAAAAATTATTGGCCTAAAAAGATTATATTTTTAACATTTTTAAATCTTTCTTTCCTCGCAAAATGATGTTTATATCTAGTTATAAATCTTTCATTTTATTTATTTTTATAAGATTCCTGCTATTTTTTGAATTTTTCTATCTAATATGGATTTAGCATACAAATTGGGAATAAAAAGTTTATTACATAAACTTATATTAATAATATAGACTGCTCAACGCTCAATTGTATAATATTTTTAAAAAAAACATAATTTATTTGGCGGCCATTTGCAAAAGAACACATGAGAATACATTTTCACAGATAAATTATTAAATATTAAGTATAATTAATATAATTATTTTAATTTACAGACTAGTTTTAATATCTCTGACTTCTTTTTTTCCCATTATTTTTATTCCTGATCACTTTATTATTATATAGAATAGGATGTGGCTTTGAATCAAAATGGTAATTATCTTTACTAATTATCTAGGTTTCCAATTAATAAAAAAAGCTTTTCTGAGTAAGTGGACCCATGTAGTGATATATTCGATACGGCAACGGATTTTAGTTCATGATAATTTTCAGATGTTGGATAAAAAGATTCTTTTGAAAAATATGCACTGCAGTGATATGAGTATTTGTTTGGTGAAAAAGAATGACTTTTAATTGCATGGGTCCACTTACTTAAAAGAGCTTTATTGTGTATTGGGAAACCTAGATAATTAAAAAACACAATTATCAATTTGATTCAAAGCCAATTCTTATTCTAGATCAGGAATAAAAAAAATAATAGGAAAAAAAGAAGTCAGAGGTATTAACATCAGGCTGTAAATTTAAATAATTATATTAATTATAATTATTATTTATATTTAATTATTTACCCATGAATATGCTGAAAGAAAGAATTTTTTATCCCAATTATGTTCTTTCACAAATGGACAACAAACGAATGATGTTTTTTTTAAACATTATACAATCTTATATTCTATGAATGTAAATGAGAACATGGATTTTTATTCATTATTATTTTCCTAGATTTTAAAATGAAAATAAATTGATTTGAAAAAAACGACTAAAACATTTATATTCGATAATTATTTAGGATTAAAATATTCAGGAACATGAGAGTTCAAAATTCTGGTTTGGATTCGAATCCCCGAATTGGAATATAGATCATAACATTTTTTTGATACCCGAAAATTTTTTATTTGCACTATTTATTACAAAAAAAGCTACTAGACATGATAAAGGCGGCTTTAGAAAAATATACGGTTCTTACGTTTACAACTAATTTAGGGAAGGAAAAGAAGCGACTCCCAATTTTTTAAATGGCTAGGGGAGGAGAGGGTTATCTATTATCACAATCAAAATTTATATATTAGGCAGAGAATATTACTTAATATCGCCTGACGTCATTTTTACACCACACTTTATAATTCTGATTTTTATCGCACCGACACTTTTATCATTCAGAAATTTCACCATGCGATCATTTGATAACCCGACATATTAAAATTTAAGTTTTTTTTCCCTCTTTTAACCGGTGTTATTTTTGATCTAAACCAAACCTTTAAACCTGTATTAAACCAATAGGTATTTACAAAACCCGAACCATACAAAAATTTATCATTCGAGCTTAAACCGAACCCGTGAATGGATTTGACAACCGGATTGAACCTGTTAATATCGTGACTATTTTAAATCATTTTAGATATTTTTGTATATCGCTATTTTGACAGTGGTGCCAGCCACCGAAGTTAGCATATAGAAGGGTTCTCACCTTTATAATTTATTCTTTCTCCACATATGGATATAATTCGATAGAAGAGAATCTTCAAAAACATTTTTTTTAGGAAATATTTTAACTAAAACGTTCTTCTCTATTACATAATTCCTAATAAATTTTTATGCTAAAACAGGTATAACCCGGTTTTTTAAAAAACCGAACTAAAACTATGTACCGTTATTTTTATTTTTATTTGAGCCGAACCGATATTCGCTACTGTTCGGAATACTGGCTTATCCCTTACAAACGATAATTGTAGGAAAATTTTATTAAATTTCTTTTATAATTTCGCGCCAATGCGTTGCATTTTAATCTTTGCGAAGACCCAGAAACAAATTTGAAAAGCAAATATTTATTTAAAAAAATAATCCGCCCTTAAATGTGAATAAAGTGTGAATGACTTAAAATCCTTGGAATATGCTGATCCAACCATTTTTCATTCTCTGAACAACAGCCAAACCGATTTTTTACCCATAGTAAATACAAAAACAAATTTTTATAACATACGTTATTTTATTTTTTGAAAAAAAGGAAGTATACCAGGGCCTATCATTTTTGGGAAGATCATCGATCTCAATTGTCTACTCTGGGATATACCGTACCCCATGGACCAGGTGCATAACCCGTCGTTTATATTCGAGTACGGGTCCTGCAATCTCTACAACAACAAAAAAACGGCGCTAAGTCTTTTGGCAATTACCGTGATCTGCAAATGTATAGCCCAAACCTTTTACGGGCTATCTTACTATTATTACGCCAAGTTTTTTTAAATATATATAAATAAAGTGTGCACAGGGGTTGGGGTTAAAATTTTTAGAAAACCGATTAAAATAAGCGGTATTCGGATCGAGGTCTATAAAACAAACAAAAAATGGAAGCTAGTTTGACTTTAACCTACCAAAATTGGCAAGGAACCAATGTGACCGATAAAATAATTAAATTCCATTTCGTTTATAATATAATTCGATCTAAAACCGGGCGGCCATTATTTTTGAAAAATAAATTCGGATTTGGGATACTGTCGGAACGAGTCAAGTGAGACTCACACTCGGGGCCGGGCTTCTAATCATAGCCGATTTTTTTTTAATATAAGGAATGAAGGTCTGTAAATAGCAAAATTTATCGGCCCGGCTTAAATTTTTTTTTTAAAAAAAAATACAAGTCATAAAACTAAAGTGTTGTTAAACACCAAAATAAACAAATATTTATAAAATTTGGTAGTGGTTAAATTAAACATCTGAAATCTCAGAATTATTAAATATATATGTTATCGTCAATGTGTTATTTTTGCAACTTTGAATCATTTTTTGAGCGCGTTTTTTTTAAATTTAAAAATCTGATTTTACCGGTAATATATTTCATCATCTTTGGAATACCTACCCTATAAATTTCAAACAATGCCATGAACTTTTGAACTTAATCTAATTATATTAGTTTTTTCATAAATTTTTTTATATGAATTATAAATAACTCAAAGATTAACAGCAAATCTATAATTCATAAGATAGGTATTCCAAACATGATGGGTATTTCCGGTTAAATCAGATTTTGTTAATTTTTAAAAAAGCGCTCAATGATTTGAAGTTGAAAAAAATATAACATTGCCGGAAAAAACTGATTGATACTCTAACATATTTACTAACATTTTTTTGCCCCAGCCTATTGGGTTTGCAGACCTCTAATACAGTTAGTCTAGATAATTTGGATTTAAAATAATATGATAAGGTTTTCGACTTTATTTTTTTATTACCTAATTTAATAATATGAATCTTCTTCGTCGTTTAATGGCCATTTTCCAGGTTTACGCCCCAATTTTCCATTAAAATTTAAAAGTTTTGTTAATTTATAATGACTACAAAATTATATTTTTACTTCCCAATTAATTTAAATCATATATGGTCAAATTCAAATATATGTTTTTTTAAGTTAATATTAACTTTATTTTGAAAATAATAGTAAAATGAATCTATAATATTAATTTTTTAAATTCATTGTCATTAAATAACTAACGTTTAGCTATCCGTAGTAGATTCTTGTTCTGATTCATATTCAATATTATCATTTTCTTTAATATTTTTTAATCAATTTTCCTGATGTCTTATAGATCTTCAATCGATTTCTATTTTCATAAAAATATTAACCCAAATCGACCTATTTCTTTCTAAAGAAGAAGTAGAACTAGGAATTATTATTAATATTCCTTACTTTTTTTAATAAGAATTTCACAATTTTACAAACTTTAAAAGTAAAATTTATTAATTTCTCGAATTAAAAAAATTAACAAACTTCCCTAAATTCGAAAAAATGGTTTAGGCCACTATTTTATTTCTGCATTAAAAATAGCTTATTTCTATTTTTTCGTTAAAGTTACGCAAATTTATATTTTTGAAATTTAGGACACAAGCTTACTCATTTTTATTACAATATAACTAACTAAGGTATCATTACAAAGAGAAAGCCAAGAGTTATATCGAGAATGATTATAAAAACAATTGGACCAAACGGGTTGACAGCGAAGAGGGGGTTATCGACGCTAGACATTCTACTAATGAATGAATGAACATTTAATGCTTTTTTGATGAGACATACGCCATTTTTTTTAAAAAACGAAATATATCTCATTTTTGTGTTTGCGCCTATTCGAAACAACAGATATTTATTTTGTAACTTCTAATTTATGCGTATTCTTTTTCCCTGCTAGATTTTTTTTTGCAATACATTATTCTCCCGATTATAACAATTAAAGTTTACGTATTTTTTTATTACAAAAAAATGGTTCCTCAATCATATTTCTTTTTTTAAAAAAAACAGTTTAAAATATACTCATTTTCCTTCATTCATCGTGTGGCAGTAAAAAATGCAATGTATATCGCATCTATTTTATTAAAAATATTCATAAAATTATTCGAAGTAATGCGTATCATAAACACTTAAAAAAATATAAAATATTATTTAATACTTTATCTGTGGTATCTTAAAAGGTGCTGTTTGCTTACTTTTAAGGAATTTGTTTTTTTTTGTGGATTTGTTTTTTTTTATCCCAAAGGAGTGTTTGAAACTGTGATAATATATTATATATACTATATTTAAATTGTCAATGAAAATTCGATTAAATCCTTTCAGGTCACAAAAGATAAAATTACTTTTTCCTCTCTTTTTTTTATTCGAGCCTCAAATTTTCGTTGTAGCAAAAAAATAAATTATTTTTAATCTATTTTTTTTTTAAAAAAAACAATTTTATTAAAATTTCCAATATATTTATATAATTGTATCAAAAAACGGAAATTTTTATTCGCTCAATCTTTATGAAAGATTTATTTAATTTTTTTTATATAATTATATTACATATTTTCGAAAAGAATTAATGCAAAATGAACAAAAGGAACAACAATTGTATTATAAATTTTAAGATTTTAATTTGATTGCTGATAGACGGAATTTAAATTTTTTTAAAATATTATATTTGAAACTAACATAATGCACAAAAAAATAGATACGATATACAATATAATTACAAATTACCTGTTGCAATCAAGTATTATACATTATTGTTTAAAATGTAATATTATATTTAATTTTTACGAAGTAATGTTTAATGTTTACAGTATTTTATATAAAAAAAATAATTATTCTCTTGGATAAAATCTTGTAAAATGTGATTATTACATTATTTTTTTTTAAAATGATATCAATACATGCATTTTTAATTTTTTTTAAATATTATTGAAAAATTTATTAGGTATTTTAAATCTTTGGAGAAAACAATTTTTATCGTTTAAAATTATCTTTACTTCACATTTTTTAAAAAAACCTACTTGATAAAACTAATACCTAGCATATAAGAAGAAAAAATAGCGTATCAAAGATCGGGCTGAAGAACCTTCCAAATCTATCTATTTTTAAACATGTCAAATAAATACATATAAAAATAATATGAAATATAGAAAATATTTTGGAAATTAAGTTTATTACAATTGAATATAATAATAAAAAATGCTGATAAATATAGCAATTAAATGGCGCGGCTGGAAGCTTGAAAGAGCCGGAAAAGAATTTTTTAGCCGGTCAAAGTGCTCAAAATATTTTTACGGCCACGTTGAAGTTTTGAAAATATTTTTACCAAATTTTTTTCTTTCATTAAAAATTATTATTGGTCAGGCCGAAGGACCTGTACAAAATATATTTTATGGGTCGTGTAAAAATAATTACAGACCATAACATTTGAATTAAAACTTAAAAACAAATATCGGCATATTATTTTAAATTTTCGTATTTGTTTCTATTTATAAATTTTCACTATAGAAGTATCTGATTATCTGTTTTATTTCAAAAAAATATTCTTCTCCATAATTAAATAGTTTTCACCCCAACTGAAAGTTCATGAGTATAGGCCTGGAACATATATAATATTTAAAAACGGGTATATACTTAAATAATAAAATAGCATTTTTTTTAGTAAGTTGCTATATTTTTTACAATGTAATCATTACTACTGGATACAGACCTGATGCTATAAACCTATAGGCGTTGCCAGGATTTTGCTAAGGGAGGGGATATATTAAGTGTATTTTTTTCTCATAAATTTCATTAGAGATCTTTAGGTCCTCATTTTTAGACCTTTGATTATATTAGATTTTTCAAAAATAATTTTGTGTAAATTTTTTTTATAAAAATCCTTTTTTTTCTAAAAATTTTAAATTATAGAGCCGTTATTTTAAAAAATTATTAACTTTTACTAATTTTTCCTTATAATAATATATTGTATACATTTTTGATAACAGGAAGTGTGGGGTATTTTGGGGGAAAATTCCTATTAATTTAAATAGATGTGTACGATAACAGACAAATTTTCAAAGGGGAAAAAAAATTCCCCCCTGCCTTCCCCCTGGCTATAACTATGTTGTAATCTTAAGGTTAGTGTTGTTAATATTAATGTTAGAAATGGGAAAATTTTTAATGGACCCGATTAAGATTTCATAGTTTGGTTACGGTTCAGTATGTAAAAAATTATAATGGTTACGGTTCTTAAGAAAAAATTTATAAAAGTTCAGTTACGGTTAGAAAAATTTTTTTTTATTGGAGCAACACCATCGTCTGATTTATTTTTATTATAAACATCTATGAATTATATATAAAAAAATATATAAAATTTAAAATAACTCATCTTTAAATATATTATTTGAACGCATAAGTAAATATTTTTTAATATAAATGGATTCATATTTGTTCGATGAGAGGATAACACAAATTTTAGTCCCGAAAAGGCCCTTTCTACAGAAACTTGTGTTGCGGGAACCGCCAGTGGTATAAGAGCAAGTGTATATAATTCTGAATATTCAAATTATTTCAATCTGAAATATAAAAACTAAACCGGTTTAACCATTATAAAGGTTCTTTTTACTCCTTCAAAAAATAATTATATCGGTTCGGTTACAGTTATGGTTCAGATATTTATAACGGTTTATAATGGTTTAACGGTTCGTTACGGTTCACTCCGGGTCCCTGATTTTAGCCACAATAATATATAAGCAAATAGAGATCCAAACCTTTCTGCCATCTATGAACAAAGTCTCCAGATTTATATAATATTATTTTAATTAAAATTTTATTCTGGCCATTTTTGAAAATCAGCTCGAATTGACTTTTTAATAGCACAACTAATGGTTATGATATTTAGATAAAATATTGACTTGAAAGTTTTGCTAGTTTTCATTTATTTCTTCGAATGGTATAATAAACTTATTCTATCAATTTCTATTTAATTTACTTGTTATGTATAATATAATGTTCAAAACATATTTAAAAAACACATTTGTTTTTTTTAAGTATTAAATTCATTTTATTATATTCGGAATATCATAGATTTATATAAAACTATATCACAATTTTAACATTAAAAGTATATTGCATTATCTTAGCAATTAATATTAAGTGCCAGATAAGATCGATTGTTAGCTTGAACTGCCATTTATTTATTCTTTGAGATAGTGGTATAGAATATATTAGATTTGATAATATGTTTTTCTTAGGTGTATATATATAAAAAACTTATAAAATTAGCATGTTTAATATTCAAATTGGAAAAGCAACAAAAATGGCAATACATTCTTATTCTTTCTTTCTTAATCTCATTTTTATAAGATATATATGATCATTTCTCTATTATAGATAAAACTAGATCACAAAATATTTAACTTATAAAAGTGCGGTTTACAATTTTTTCAAATCTCTTCAAAATGCGTCTTTTGCTAATAAAATTAATAATATAAATGTAATATGATTTTTGGTCAATTAATTATAGGAGCTCCTGGTTCAGGTAAAACTACATATTGCTATGGAATGTCCCAGTTTTTAAATGAAATCAATGATAGAATTTCTAAAAAGATTGAACAAAATAAAGATTGCAAATCGATTAAGGAAGAAATAACATTTAAAAATCCAAGGAAGGTGGCTATTATTAATTTAGATCCAGCTAATGAATGTGTTGCTTTTGAGCCTGATATTGATGTTAGGACTATTGTTCAATTAGATAATGTAATGAAGAAATATAATATAGGACCCAATGGTGCTATGCTCAAATGCCTAGAAATATTAGAAAAAAATATTGATTGGTTAATAGAACAAATTTTACTATTATCATCTATGAAAACTCCTATTTATGATTATTTTTTATTTGATTGTCCAGGACAAATTGAGTTATTTACTCATCATACATCATTATTAAATATAATTCATAAATTATCTCAAAAAAATATTGACAAATCTTTCAATGGTATCAATATGGTTGTTGTAAATCTTGTAGACTCTACATTTTGCCTTGATTTGGGTAAATATGTTGCATCAACTTTAACATCTTTATCAACTATGCTATATTTGGCACAGCCACATGTTAATATACTTTCCAAATATGACTTAATTGAAAAGGAGTTGGATAAGAAGGATAATCTACACTTTGACTTCTCATATTTTACAGATGTCTTGGATTTGTCACATTTAGTCCAATGTTTAGATGTTATAAAATAATATTTAATGATAAAATTTTTTATTTTAAGACAATTAAGATTATTGTCAAAAAGCTTACAATTGTTTAATAGATATATCCAGAATCCCTATAAATTTTATTGGAGCCACATTTTTCTTGATCAGCTAGGTTATAGGTTAATTTTTTAAATAAAAAATTGGTTTTACAATTTTATTTAAAAAAGGGTTACACTTTTAAATAACTTATCTTTTGGTTTTAATGACTATTTTAAGATTGGATGTTTCTATTATATAATGTAGATATTAACTTTTAGATTTTTTTTATCTTATATATAAATTATAATATTATGGATTAATATATATAGGCAGAACTAACTCAGTTTTTTACTTTCTTTCTCTAATTTTAAAATTATAACTTTTTTAAATTTTCAATCATGAAAGTTTTATATTAATTTGAGATTGAGATTAAATAAAATTATAATTATTAAAATTTATATTAAATAAATTTATAACTTAAGCTTATTAGCAGCAGACAATGACTCTTATAATTAATTTTTATGAATTTGAATATAATAATTGTTTTGAAAATTTATTTGATTTTGGTATTTAAATTATCTTCTAATACTTATTTTATTCATAATGCCAACCTTTATTTGCTTAAAATATCTACAAAACTGCAAATTGTTTATTTATAATTTAAACAATTAAAAATATTTTTTTTTAAAAAACCCATTAGGATGATCCATTCTATTCAAGATTCAAAAAACTCAATACAGTTATATGTGAAGTGATTGAAGGTTATAGCTTAGTTTCATATGTTCCATGCAATATAAATGTAAATTTTCTAAAGAAAAAATTAATATTATATTAAGACTCAACAAAATTAACTATATTTTAACATTTAACTGTTAGCCTTAATAAATTATACTTCAAATAAATTAGGAAATATTTTATTCTATTTTAAATAAGTATTATATTAGTATTATTTATAACTAGTATCCATAGTTGACAAAATTGAAATGGGAATGCAAATTTTTTTACTTTAATCATGTACCATAATAATAATTTAAATACCTTCAGTTATATATTGACATTACTTAATTTAATTATATTATTACCTATCTATAATAAAAATATAAACATAAATTTTGGGCATGTCTCAATATTTTTTTAAAAAATATTATGTTGGGCTAAAAGTGAAAATACATGGCCTTAATTCCCTATATCTTTTTAACATTGTCATTATAAAACAAAGAATTATGAAATAAGGGAATTCTCAAATATAAAAATATTTAATGAGCTACATTCATTGGCCATAATTGTCCATTACTTTAAATGTTAATGAGCTACATTCATTGGCCATAATGCCCATTATTTAAAATGAGATGGTTAATCTGTGGGAAATTGAAAAAAAAGAAACAAAATCTTTGATTTCACAATCAATCCTGTACACCTTCATTACAATGGTAGTTTATACAAAACAAGATTAGGATTAAGAAACTACAAATTCATTAATGTGTGGATACCTGAATATGACTAAAAAAATGATTTTATTCATATCCTAAATATCACAACCAAACATTCTCTGGTCAATATCTTTTCCAAGATATGAAGAAAGGGTAAAAGATACTGTAACTGTAAGTCTTATTGGTCCTCAATAAAACTTAATGATGTATTAAATATAAATATTGGCTTGCTTAAAATAAACTACTGAAAATTAAAATTAATTGTCTAATAAACCAAAATTACTTCCTGTTTCCCCATTTATTCTATTCCTACATTGGTCACAATATTAACGTGTATATCGAGATAACCAAACGTTACTAAAGTTGTTATCCGAAATTTATAAGGCTAAACGCTTGATATCACATATATTTCATAACAAAAAATAAGGTGGGATATATTATGGCCTAGCATGAATGAAAGGACTGCTATGTCTGAAACATTAAATAATCTTCTTTGTTGCGTCCAACTCTTTAATGTTTTTTTTAAGTTATAATAGCATATTCCTCCCTTCCTCTTGGTCTTTTAGACCCTCCATGTCAATCTAGTGTTGCGAAATCACCTATCTTTACCCAAAACTCTAAAATGGATTAGACGATTTTTTATTCTAGAAAAAATTCATCTTATTCATTAAGTTGAGGAGAGGCCTAAGTCAATCCTTAGTTTTTTGACGAAAAGCTTAGCTAATATTATATCGATTTTGTCAAAATTTAGGTGATTTAACAACAATATATGAAATTATATTATTATAAATTATCATTTATCATCATCCACCCCCTCCTTTCCCATAGGATAAACTAAGTGTAGCGAGATTGGTCAAAATATTGGACAAGGCCTTAGCTTACCCAAGATTATATTCTTCCAAGAATCCGGAAAGAAGTGAAAACTCTTTGGAGGAAATTTTTATACTTCCTTCTTCCGATAAAGACATAAAGGCCAAACGAGACATTCAACGGTCGAAGGATTCTGAGGGAGATATTTTATTTCCGGTTTTATTCGATCCTGAAACATCCAAACTTTTTAACGACATAAATTTTTTCCAAAATTCGGTAAATTCAAATCGCGCCAGCACTGGCAAGCTTGAGAAGGCGGAAGATATCCTGGAAAATTTTTTAGAAGATATTAAATCAAAGAATTGATTTTATTCCTTTTTTTTTCTTCAAATTTATTTGTGTACATAAATCGACAAAAGAATTCATTGTAAAATATATTGTAGTTTTGCAATAAAATATGTAATTTTACTGGTTGTAATTGCTTATATATCTATCATACCCTCCTACCCTACTCTACAGGACGTTAAAATGATACGCTTTAATAATTATTTTTTCTCTCTTAATAATTGACTCGGATTTTAAGTAATTTATTTCATACATAATTTTGTAATAAAAAATAAAAATATTCAAGATTGGTTAATACTTTGGGCAGAGATATGGTTAATTACTTTGGGCAGAGATATGGTCAATTACATTTTAGCAGCGGACACGGCCCAATTAAAATTTTAAATTAATGAAAAGGTTTTAAAACTGCGTTCACCATGGTTAAAGTAAAGAAAAAATCCCTTTAACAATAAACCGATCAATTTTATTATTGGGGGCGAATATCCCCCACTCCACAAACACTTGAGAAGATTTAATTAACCCCATACGTATATATATCTCGCCCACAGATTGGTTAATTTTGAATATTTTTTATACTATTGTATTCCTTTATATGCTAGCACAGACGTGTCCAAGCTGACTTATCAAGAACTCGTTTAGATTGGACATTTTCAAATATTTTATCCGGAGGGCCTCGATTCGAATCTCTTTAATCCTTTTATATAATGTTAAAAACTCATCGTTATGTGGTAAAAAAAACAAGAACCAAATTTTATTAAAACCATTTTTTTTTAAAAAAATATATAAAATAAACTAACACATATCTTTCTAACCTCATATAGTGTCGTTAAACTGCCCGTTTTGAGCTGATTTTAAAAACGGCTTAATCAATATTTTAGCCAGAAAAATATTGTCTAAGACTCGAGATTTCGATGATATATGTATATATACCTTTGTTCCTTCTATGAAAAAATCTTCAGGCCTGCATAATATTTTGTCTGGATGAAATATATAGTTATCCGTTTTTTAAAATCGGCTCATAACGTGCTGTTTAACAACAAGTTTTACCAAAAAGGATTCGTTAAAGCGGGGATCGAACCCCGATATCAGGTACAACTTAATCTTTGATATATATACCTCAGATTCTGACCTTTCCAGCGCCATCTTTTTTTTACTACTAGTTAGCAAACCATACGAAAAACGGCGAAGATATATACTTTCCAACATGAACCATTTATTTTTTAAAAAATTTATTTATCTCTTAGCAGCCGTTAATATTCTCTTCGCTTTTTTTAAAAAAAATCGTATATTTCCATAATCGAATATTTTTTTAAAATCGGTATCTTATATTAGAAAAAAAATCTATGGACCGGAAAGAATCGATCTCGATTCAGGAATATTATATTTGGCCGGTCAAATATCGGTCAAATGACCGTCAAATAAATACCCAACCCTGGATAAAACTGTCCAACTTACTACAATTGCATCTTTAAGGGGGAAAAAAATGGACTTCTGAACTTATTTAAACTTATTTTTCTCGTGGTTAATTTAAAATAAAATAATTATATTGACCTATATTTCATAAAAAAACGTAATATAACGGCACAAGGCACAACACATGTACGAACTACTTACACGAACACGACACGAAATAGAATAATATTAAAATATTTTAAATTTAAGAAAGGGAAAGATATAAATAAATGGTTGACATAATTTTTTTTTTCTTCTAAAGAATTAAATTATATGTATAAAAATTAGGTTAAACTCCAATCAATTGTTTCTTTAACTTTCGATTTTATATTTTCTTTCCATTTTTATATATTAGTATAGTATATAAGATATATGAATGAATGCCTTAATTTTTCTATCATTAAATATCTTATTAATTTAATTTTTCTCCGTATTTTCAAGTTCAATGATTTTTCTCAAATTAATTTAATTTTTTTTCACTTCTTTTTTTTCCACGATAAACATACAAAGTTTTTTATTTTTACTTCCCCTTTTCCTTTTTCCGTTACATTTTTTTTTTTGAAATTTATATTTACTCGAATAATTTTCACATTTCTAGGTAAGATTTTATGTACCTTTTAAATTATATAGTTAATAGAAATAGATTGTTATAATTTGCCATCATCCACTGGGAAAGTATGTAGGTTATAATGTTTTAGGAAACTTGAAGAAGTATATGTATGTTAGTCCAAATAAATAAATAAAGGAAAAAAGTGAAAGTGTGTCATATCATTTTTCCAAATTTTTTTTAAAAAAATTTTTAAACCCGGCCCGGGTATTTTTCTTTACCTATTCTTATTTAAATTTCTGCGATTTTCATTTTTTTTAATAAATGCATATTTTATTATTGACTTTTCTCTCAGGCTAGGCCATATGGAAAAAAATTGTGATTCAATCAAACTAATCGATTATTTAGAATTTTTATAGAAAAAAAAATCATGTATTTTTGGTAACACCTATATATATAAGTTTATTTTGTGAAAATAAGCGTAAAAATTTTTCTATCGCTATTTTTTACGCCTAAAAAATTCCTATCTAATTTTTTTTAAAAACTCAAATTAGGACATTTTATCTTTTAATAAATTAGAAGTAAAGACATAAACTCAGCCTTAAATTGATTTTAGAAGCGTAAAAAATTAGACGCCTATTCTATATGAAATGAATATGGTATTTATCAAAACTATTTTAAACACATCTTTTTTCGTTCAGAATTTTTTTTTCAGGAGTAGTAAAAAAGTTAGATTCGATAACCAAACCAAGATTTAGGTGAATGATTTTAAGGAAAATGTGATTTAAATATAAGACGTCGCAACAATATCAAAATGCGATCCATTAAGTCGTAGAACTGAGGATAATATAAGAGTTAAAGAGAGGAGACCACTCTAAATAACCCTATCCTCAAACAAAATTTTTTTTTCAAAATAAATTAGGTTTTTTGTGATTATGGAATTAAAAAGGAGGGCAACCTTAGTAAAAAAATTGAAATTAGGCCTGGCATTCGCTAAATTCCCACCAGGCCGGCTATAGAATTTTTCCATTCTCCGATATATATTTCTAGTCTTAATAATTTTTTACCGAATAAACTCCAATGTTGGTTTCCTTATATCATTAACCCTCCCACCTCCTGGTAAAATAGGCATAAGTGAGTTATAATGTTTCATATTTTCCCATGTGGATAAAAAATATTATTTGTCTTTAACTCATATGAAAATTTAGTAATTTGTTGAATTGTTGTAGAGCGCGATTCTATATTATCCATTAGCATAAATATTTCAATTACAAAATCGTATTGTTAAATGTATTCGCACAAGTGGCAACTTAAGTTATCCTAAAGTGATTGACAATTAGTCCGAAAATATGAGATGCAAGTTTACGCTCGATGCATAAATTATATATTTTTTAGACTACGTTCAAAACTGGTTTTTACTTTCGGTAAGCGATAATGTATTAAAAAGGATAATAAAGATTAATTCATTTTAAGGTGCACCAATACAAATCAGCTGATGACATGCCATTTTTTTTTATTTTCTCATATTAATAATTTACATTAAAAAATTTTAAAATAAAATTTCGCCGTTTCATATATAAAAATTCTTTTATTGGGAAAACAAAATGGCTTTTCAACTGCTTATTTTTTGATCGATGACGTTTCAAAATACAATTTAATGAATGAAATGAATCAGTCCTTAAGGTAGGTATTATATGTCATTGGATATGTCTGCCCAAAAATTTAGGGCAATTGTATCTTAATACATTATAGCTAACGAAAACTATAAATCAGCTATGGGCATAGGATTATACAAAACGCCACACAAAGAAATAATTCTACCGGAGTTAGATTTTCTAAAAAGGTGTATTTGTAAAAAACAAAGTTCCAAATTGATTATTATAATGCTTTTGTTTTAGAGTATATAATTATAATATATATATATTTATATATAATCTAGAAAAAGCCATTTATATTATATAACCGGGTATATACTATATATATCTAAGATTTCATGGTTATACGCAAATAAATAATACAAAATAATCTGGTAAAATATTATGCAAGGATTTGGTGGATTAATCTGGGAATCGATATTCGTTTGGTCACTCTTTTACATAACTCAGTAAAAGTGGAGTAAATTATATGATAGAAATGACAATGATGGACATTTGGATAGACAGATATTTTTAAAGTTATAATACTATTTTTTAAAGCCTTAATTTTTTTTTTTTAATTTGTAACCATTTATTTTCCTTTCATTTTTTTATAAAAGAAAATATTTGGTTTAATTAATATATTTTTTAGATTGTTATACATTATAATATATTTTTTTTGAATATTAATAAAAATTTAGTAATATAATATTTAAAGCTAATATCGGTAAAAAAAAATCGCAATATTTTTTGATTATTATTTTCGCGGAGAGAAACAGGAATTAATTTTTTTTTTAAAGATTGTTATTATATCATATTTTTTTTTAAAAAAAAATACATAATAATTTATAAAAAAATAAATAAATACGATTTTCTTCTAATAAATTATTTTAAATTTCAAAAGGTGAGATTGGGGAGTTGAGTAGGACATTGTTAGGACATATTTATTTATTTTAAGTAAAATTTAAAACTTCTTTGGTCACATGACATTTTTTTTCCATATCGATGGGCAAGGGACTGACTCGCCTTTTGCTACCTTTCTTGTTACCCGCGAAGGAATCGTGATTGCATGTAGAGTGATTATTATGATTAGGAATTTTGGAAGGAGCGGAGGCGTGATCTTTCGGCGCTTCTTTAACATCTTTACCATTGAGGCAGCTACCAGGATCTAAGTAGGTTCTATCCTGTTTACCGAATGTTTCTACGAAATCTGACTTTTGCCCATTTAGGTTCCCACGCTGGGAAGTTATTCCACCATCCAGTGGTAATGATGGACAAACCGATTGGTCGGTGATTGAATTTGTATCACGGACTTTGAAGGATGTGATATGCTCGTTATCAAAATCGTGATCATTCCCGTTAGTGTTGTTTACTTTATAAGAAATTTTATCATAATTGGAGGGATCCTGACCATCGTCTTCAAATCTGTATTTGCCGACATCTTTGTTAGATAATTTAGTTTTGTTTGTATGATGGTTTTTGGAAGAATAATTCGAGTTGTTTCCATTTTCTTGAAGTACTTTAGTTTTGTTGGTCAGGAGAAAATTATCGTGACGCTTTTCAACCATCGTATTTCCATGGGATATATCCCCATTTAGGCCACGATGAAGCCGATTAATAGCATTTGTGCCATTTATATTTTCATCATTATCAGCAATATTGTTATTCATATCATTTCGATTGTCCCCGTTGAGATTTAAATTTTTTTCACTCATTTCTTTCTCACTTAAAACCGAACACCGAGATTGTTGCTGTCTTTGTTGGCTCTGCTGCTTTTGCTGGATCTCAAAGATACGAAATATCTGATCCACTAACACGTTCACGTCGATATCATTTTTTACACAGGGGATGTCGGTGGCTTCAAAAAAATCGCCTATAATCACCTGACTTTTTTCTTCGTCCGATCGTTCTTCCATGTTGAGTTTCAGGGATCTTAGATGAGGGATAGTCAATAGAAGCTTTCCGAACCTGTAAAAGACGTTATTATTATTATTACATTTCTCTGTGTTCAAACGCTCTTTGTGACCATTTTTGCGGCGCGAAGAGCTACTACCATCATCAACATCCTTGGCATCGGTAGAAGATACGATCGATTTACAACGTGTGTATTCCTCAAAGGTCTTGAAGGCATTCTCTTGAAGTTTTTCCAAGGTCTCTGAATTGCTGGAGGTTTGGGAACTGTTATCTTGGTGTAATTTATATTATTACGTTTTTACCCCAAGAGCGATAATATAGAAAAATAAACAAATTATTATAATTAAACTTTCACCTCCATTCCATAACTATTTAAGTTGCATTTACTTACTCACCCAAAATGCTTAGGGAACCTAATAGTGTTGTTAAACGGCTCGATTGAGTCGATTTTTAAAACCGGCTAGCTCAATATTTTAGCCAGAAAATTGCCTAAACCTTGAGATTTTGCTAATAGATGTTCAAACCGTTATGGCATCTATGACCAAAATCTTCAGGCTTGCGTAAGCTGTTTAACAACACTAGAACTCACATATAGCATTGGTAGGACAAAATATTATAGTAAGCGATGTTTAATTTTTAAAAAATTGATCTTCAACCGAATTATCAATATATGTACGATTATTTTTATGTAAATGGTCTGTTTTTAAAACTAATTTTGTTAGAAACCTCCAGTATACAGTCGATAATTTTAATTAAGTTATAAAAAAAAAGAAAGAATTGGTTTCTGTAAATTTTATTATCGTCTGCCTTTTTATTTCTTTAATTTCTAAATATTCCATTTTAAAAGATAAGTTATATATTTTTTTACATTTTATATAATATTAAATTAAAATAACATATAATTCAACTAGTAAGGAATTTTTAGTGCCACCCCCCCCCCCACCTGTAACAAGGTTTTGTCGGCTTTCTTCCAAAAAAAAACACCGAGTTGTTAAAAACGGGTAGTAGATCAATGTGCAAAATGAGTTTGTCTTAATGGTTTCTAAAGATAAATGGTAATTCGACCAATTTACACGATACCATTTTGAAATGCTTTATTTACGTGTGCAAGGCAAAGTTTAAAACAATGTTCAATTTGTGCACAGCACAATATTACATCTTGTGTTGTTAAACGGCAAGTTTTGAGATTTGTAAAAAATGGCTAACTCAATATTTTAGCCAGAAAAATATTGCCTAAGCCTCGAGATTTCGATAATATATGTCGACATCTATTAACGAATTCTCGAGGCTTAGACAATATTTTTCTGGCTAAAATATTGATTTAGCCATCTTTAAAAATCGGCACAAAACTAGCCGTTTAACAAAACTAATTACACCTCTAAGGCTAATTTAGTTTTGGTAGACAATAATATATTAAGATTTAGCTGTCCTATTTTTTTTTTGATGGACAGTTATATCTTAAATATACAATATTGTATAAAAAAAAGTAAATCAGTTTAAGAAAAAAATACCAATAAAATTAAATTCTTATATAAATTATAAAACGACAACACCGCTAAATATTAATAATAATAAAAATTCTTAATGAAAATTGTTTTTTAAAAAAAAACATCATATAACTTTTTATATTCCCCCAAAAAATTTAGATAAAATATAAAAATGAAAGTAATTAACATAAAAAAATAATTTAATTCTTTCTTTTAATAAGAATATTTAGTTATTAAATATAACTTTACAGGTTGGAATATACAATATTTTTTTGTTTTATTTATGTAAATGATGGAAAAACTTATGCTTAAAAGCTTTTTTAAAAAAATCCAATATTATTATAATATATATTATATTTTTAAAAAAAAAGTCACTTAGCCTAAAATATAAATTTAATTAAAAAAATAATACATATCGCGAATATATAGCGGAATTATATCATATTTTTAAGAAAGTATAATTTGCTGGATATGAGAAAGAGATTATTTTCTGATTTTCTAAATTAATAATCTGTATTTCGTATTCGTAGTTGTTTAGGAAATTCAGGCAGGTTTATGCTTTGTAGACCTAAGTTTTGAGGAAATTTCGCATTTTTTTATAAAAATTTTTTTAAAATATCTAATTTTCCTATATGAAACATTATTAAGGCCTTCATTTGATATTTTCAATGTATTGAGAGAGAGAGTCTTAATTTATTTTTTTTTAAATCAAATTAAAAAGGCATTTCGAGAATATTAAATCCAATATATTCTTTTAATAAAATATAAAATTTTTTAAAAACGAGTAACGCGTATTGGAGTTATAAAAGTTTAAAAGCGCAAAGTTATTCATTAGCCAACACGGTAATATTAATTATGTTATAAATGATAACTTTTTATAAAAAATTATTTTTATATTTATTAAAAAAAAAAGAATTTAAAACAAAGGTCATATAAAGAAAGAACAAATCACGATTATTAATATATATAGGCATACATCTATATCGTGGCCTTAGAATTAGAATTTTCTATCTCCACTTTTTGTAACTTTACGGGAGAGCTATTTTAAAAAAATAAGTTTCTATTGTTTTCAATAGGATAGTTAACCTTTTATCTGATTTAATATGAAATATTTTTATAAATATTTGAGATATTTTTAATGTAAATAGAATGGTAATATTAAAAAAAAATTGATTTATGTAAAAAAAAGTCATTTTTGGCTAAAAATGGATATAGAATAACCTAATTCTCAGGTTATAATATATATATATGAATTAAATGTCAAGAAAACCCAATTTAGGTAATAATAAAGGTGAGACCGGCTTACTTTCATTGGCTAATATATGCAACGTTGAAGAGCAATACAATTACTTTGATCAATAATCATGCAATGGCTAGTTTGAAATAAAAGGTTTCATTATGATCGCCACTTATTTGGCTCAATTTTCTCCGTAATTATGATAAATTTATGGGATTCCTAAAAACACCAAAAATTGGTGGGCAATGGGATGAAAATTTTGTTAGCGACGAACTGAATATTTATTTGTTTTCAAGATTTCTGCCTAACTAATAACAGCATCGTGCCGAATCGTCGATGCATGTGTAATGACAATCAACTAAAAGACCAGAAGACCAGGGTATTAGGCTAACATTATCGGGTCTTCTGTTGTTGCTTGAGCAAGCGCGTACGCATTGGAGAGGGGCAGGGTAACAAACCCCCACCCCCTCCAGCCATAAAATCCAGATACCAGGAAAAATATTTTTTTAAAATAATCTATTGTATTTATATTTTATAATAATCATTCCTACCTTTTATGGAATATATATTCCAAAAGATATTTATTTATCACATTCACAGAAAATTTATCACAGCAAATCTAAATTAAAATAGTTATAAAAAATGACATCGATTTGATTGAGACTATGTAAATATCTGAAAGCGTTATATTGAAACTTAAGGAAATTAGGGCAAATGTAAGAGACGAATTTCATAAATCATTTATCATTTTAAGCCAAAGCAAAGCTCTATGAATTTAATATTTGTCTACCTCAACTCGCAGCAAGGCAAACCCATTGTTTCAATGTTAATATAAGGTAAGTCGAAAATTAATGGATCTCTTTATCCCCCTCTTGGAACTTTTATAATTAAAATGAATAATGTTCTTGATTGATCAGGCGGTACATACAAATCTACTTCAGAATCCTTCCGAATCTATTTCAGTAGATAAAAATAATTCAATATTAGGCAGATTTTCGAGAGGATGTTAAAGTATTCCATGATGCTATAGCTGAATGCACACTATGATATAAAAGGTTAAATATGGATAGATGATTAGCATAATTTCAAACACAGTTTAGACTATTTCCATAATATATTGAATTTATTACAGACCTTGGCAACTCTACCCATTAGTTTTTCTACCAATGAAAGAATATTTTCTAAAATCGATCAAAATTAATATCGCTGTGTAGACTAATCCAATCTAATAAATTAAAATTGAATCAAAGCCTTTAAATAATAAAAAAAAAGGTTGGATGAGTATACATGAGTTTTTCTTTCTGGCCAGTCAAAACCTGGACTGATTAATGTCACAATTATTGAATATGTGTATAAGGAGTTCACGTTAATATTTTTTGATTTTAAGTATTCAAAAGTTTAATTAATTATACACTAATTTGATTAATGTTAACAAAGCAGTTTTACATTAGACCCCATTATTTAATTTTTTTTTTTTTTAAAAATGGGATCTTTATTATATGTGTTAGCGACAATGTGTTATTTTTTCAACTTTCAATCATTTTTTAAGCAAGTTTTTTTAAATTTAAAATTTTGATTTTACCAAAAATGTATTCTATCATGTTTGGAATACCCACTCTATAAATATCAGACAATTTCGCCATGAACTTTTGAACTTAATATAATTTATATTAGTTTTACCATAGATTTTTCACATAATCGAAAGTTAAAGGTAAAATTATCTACAATTCTTAATATAGGTATTCTAAACATACTGGAATACATTTTCGGTAAAATTATATTTTTAAATTTAAAAAAAACACCCTCAAAAAATGATTTAAGTTGAAAAAATAACAAATTGTCGAAAAAAACACATTGCCGCTAACATATGCATTGATAAAACGTGCATATTTCAATATAAATTTAGCCAGGTTCATCCATTTAATATGACCACTCAAAATCTGGCCAGACAATCCATACCGACATATATATATATATTAAATGCCTTTATATGTATACTAAGTATGACTTTTTTTTTAATATTCAGTGTGAACAATGACAGAGACCTAAGGATAATAAATATATATATAAAATACCAGTAATTTAATTTGAATGGGGGTTTTTTTTAAATAGAATAAAATAATGCATAAAGTGATTTTTCATTGGGTTTTAAATACAATTTCTTAAAATTTTATTGCTATAAATATATACAAAATTGAGATAAACTGATCTAGATAAAATTTTCAGCAGGCGGCCAGTTTATATCTATGGCCCGTTTGAGGTTCTTTCTAAATCACAACCGAATATTTTAAAATTTTATTTCCAAGCCCAGTCCGGCATGAGCTATAATGCTCTCTTAAATGATTTTAAAGAATAAGTGATACTTATTTGAGTTATTTAAAAAAAAAAAAATCAGCCAGGATTATGGAGACAAAAAAAATTAAGCCCGACGGATTATATTTTGATAAAATTTTACGGCTGGACCCATATACAAGGACTGGGCTTTGGTCCAGATCTGCTAGTTTCTGATGTTTATATGGTTACTATCTTAAATATTAATGTGATAAGATTTACCTATTGAAAAAAGCAAAATAGACTTTATACAGGAACACTCCAATGGATCTAGGTTTAAGGCGATCATCTTGTTCAATTGTTTTATGAATTTATTAGCGAAGCTCAAAAATTCAGGCAGAATTGTGACTTCCTCGTGTATAGTGGGAATAACATTGTTCTCTAAAACTATGACCCTCTCTAACTTTTCCGCTTCTTCATTGTCTCTACAGCCATTCATACCTTGGGAACTACCGACTTCATCAAGATGTGAACAATTACTCCCATTGCCTACTTTGCAGACGTCTTCTATTATTTTTTCTAGCACTGGGGATTGATTTTGTCGAAAAGACACTAAAAAGCTGGCGTAAAAGGCTCCCTGAATCAAGAAGAGCTGTATAAGACTATCCTTTGCTAATCCTACCTTTTCACCACGATTCAAATTTGGGCAGTAATGTTCAAGCATTTCTTTCACCCATAGCAAGATACCTAAAAGAATGAGTCTTATAACTTTTTTGTCGGCAAAGAGCCGACTATGAATTTCTTTTGTTTCGTCCCCTAACCAACTGATATCGCTGGAGAGCATTAGGTCTATAACACCCTCGTGAGTTTCGGAACTAGTATATTCCGCCTCTATTACTCTTGTCAGGAAGTTACGATTGGAGTTAGATGCGAGCAATTTTACGTATTTGGCGAACAAGAAAGCTCGGTACCTGGAGAGTTTCTGGGATTGCGATGTACCACTGACCAGAATTTGATTGATATCAAGAGGCGTTTTTATCGTCAATTGCGGAGTGGTTGATTTATTATCTGATTCAGAAAATGGAAGAGAGGAACTATTTTCATCTGGAGATGCGTCGTAGTTAATAGGAACGTTTTCGTCATCAATGTCGACTTCCCGTTTTACCATTTCCCAGTCTGAGGAAGCACTTCTCGAGGGACTCGAAAAAGTTTGGTCCGAGTTATTTTTATTATTATTGATTGGTATCTCTCTAATCGTGACATTGCTTGTGCGATCAATCAAATCGGCATTAGAAAGATTTATCCTGCTTATTAGCGTTTGATCGAAAATGGGGAAACCGTTCTTAGGTTGTTTTGCGTAGTAATATTGAGGCATTATGGGAGGATTCCAATCGTTTTTGACTTCTTCTTTAGGCAATGGGGTATCGTATTGGTTAGTCAAGGGGATTCGTGATTCAAGATGATTCATGGTTGGATAGAATGGCGGAAACATGTAATTCCAGTTGAGATAGCGCCAAGAGGCCGTCAAATTACGCAAAAAGGAAGAGTAATACAACTCTTCGGGATTATTGCCGTAAAATTGGTAAGGTGATTGTTTGAGGTAAGGCCCACTAGCGGGAATTAACGAACCGTAAGGGTGGTGAGTACATTTGTTTGGATATATGGAAGGGACACTCGAGGAGGCTATTACAGCATTGGAAAAGGAGTTGTTGCCGGCCAATTGATTTCTATATTTCGGTAACGAGGCGCCCCGCTGATCGAAACATGATTCCGACAATTTCCCCCCTCCATATTCAAGTTTTGGTTTGATAAAATTGGGGGTTATCAAAAATTCTGAACTTGTAATATTTTCTTGAACCCTGTTGGAAGTGAATTTGTCCCTGGGATTATAATCCGCGGAATAACGATTTTTGTTCTCTGTTGAGTCATAGCCGAGGGTGTTACCGTGATTTTCGTTTTGGCTATTCAAACGAGAGTTTTGTTCGCTATCTTGAACGTGTTCAATAGGAATGTTTAAGTTATCTGTGTTCGTTGTTTTAGTCGCAACTTCCCGAGATTCGTTATTGGCCTTACACAATCTTTGATTATATTTAATTGGAATCATTTTATTGGTTTCATTTATACCTGCAAACGATTTGAAGGCGGGCGATTTCAACAACGGAGGGCAAAAACCTAAACCGTAACCCAAACCTAGCGCGGTGTAGAAGTCATCGAAGTTATCTTCTTCCCTCTTTGCTTCCCTTTTGTTATTCTCCTTGGGATTAGTATCGTTCGCCTGGAGATTCCTATTGCATTTGGAAGACACGTAAAACTTTGAACGGCAATTCGGTACGAAGGTGCGCTTGAAATTATTTTGGTAGTTAGTTGGGTAACCCGCAGCATCGGAGGGTTGAGAAAGGGGAAACGTTTTATTATTGTTAGTATTATCGATGTTGGCCAAATTTTGCGCTCTATCTCTTCCGCCGTTAGGCACCACATCGGTTTGATAGGGCCTTATACCGGAATTAAATCCATCAATTCGTCTGCCATTAGATGGCCCGAAGAAAAATGGATTGTTTTGGTGATTTGGCTTAGGTACTTTAGGTGTCATGGAATTTAAAAAGGAGCTGTAGTGGTGTTTGTTACTTAAATGATATTTGGCGTTGAGATTCTGTTGAGAGGTGGAGGAAGTTAGTGGAGTTCTCCCTTTCTGGACTGCTTTAATGGTTAAAAAATATTATATAATTTTAAAAAATATACCAGTATAATTTTATACTGATAACTTTCGGAAATTCATTTATAATATACATGCATATCTTAGTTATTCTAATCTCTCCTTTTTTTCTAAAGAGGCGAACCTAAGTTCTATTTACACCCTGCCTGTAATAATTGAGATTCTTAGCAATGCGTTCTATGAATAGACAAACTTTTATTTGAATTAATTCTTAGATACATTTCATTAAACATAGTGTTGTAAACGAACACGTTCAAAATGAACACGTTCGTGAACGAAGTTCGATTTTTTGAAAAAAATGATGAACGGCGTTCCTTTTATTTTTGACGAACTTTGAACGTGAACGCGTTCCTTTTTTATGACGAACGCATTCGAATTTAACGTTCGTTCAATTTAAAAAATATTTTTATTTATTTGAAAAATTTAATATTTCCGAATTTTTTAAAAAATGTATTATTTATATTTTTTAATCGGATGTGTATTTCCTATTCACATTTCAATTTTTAACACATAGTTTATTAATTTGAATATTATTGTTTATCTTTTAATTTATTAGATTAGCATAAGCATGGATATTATTTTTTAATCCTTATCAACTGATTCTTAAAATTCAAAATCAGATGAATTATCATTAATATGGCCAAATATGAATATTTTACATTAACATCCTATATTGAAGGAATTAATCCAGTGTTTACCAAGTGTAAAATGTGGCCAAAAAGTATTATATTGTCAAAATCTTCAGTCCAATTTAAAACGACATTTGATTTTAATAATAATTATTTGATTTTATATGATATAACTAAGTTAAATCAAATTTGAAGAAATAATGCATTTGGGATATTTGACCCCAACAATAACGATAGTTATTTTAAAATTAAAAAAATTAGTGGCCTCAAATATGGTCAACCATTGATAGACGCAGTATTTAATGGGATTAATAAAATGTATTAAACCTATAACTCTCAATTAATTACATATATTTTATTTTTTTAAAGATTTGAACATATATATAAGGATCAATATGTTCTTTCTTTCTGCAATTATACATCCAGCATTCAAACTTCAATGGCCATGGATAAAACTTCCACAGAACGAACCTATTAAAAATAAACTTATAGCGTCATTAAAAAAATGCTATTAAAACCCTAGAGAACTGTTAATTTCGAGATATCCTTTTTTTGTCGAGAGTAGAGAATGGATTGGAGGAGGATAACTTATCTCAATTTTTTGCAAATAACAAAACAATATGTTTTTAATGAATTCTCCACGTTAAAAGAGCTGTTTATTAAGTATAATACCGCAATCCCCTCATCTGCCCCTGTAGAGCGCTTTTTAGTATAGCTATGCCGTATTAACTGCCAAGTGTTCCTGTCTATCAGATTAATATTTTGAAAACAATTGTTATTTATTCGCTATATTATATTGTATTTTATTTATAATTATATTATCAAAATAAAACTATATTATTTTTTAACATGGCTAAAATATATTGTATTAAAAAATATAAGTTTATTTATATTAAATTAAATTTAAAAAAAAAAAATTTATCATAAAATTTTGAACGGTTTTATGAACAACGCGTTCCTTTTTTTTGAACATGAACTTGAACGTGAACGCGTTCAATTTTTGTCAATGAACGTAGAACGCGAACGCGTTCGATTTTTTTAGAATTGTTTACAGCACTATAAAATATAGATGGACTCAGGCATGTGGGGGGGGGGGGATTATACCCCCATCTCAAATTTGCCTTTTCTCGTAAATATCATTTTAAGCTAGTAAATAGTTTCCCCCTATAAACCCCTGCTCCAATCTCCTCAAAAAATGTATGCAATATATTTATAAGGAAGAATTTGAAAGGACAATTAGTAAAGTTGATGACTTATTAAAATAACGACTTCACCGCGAATTCGCGCTAACTGTTGCAGGAAGACACGCCGAGATGAGAGTGCGTAATAATATAAATCATGGTGGATTTATCGGCAAAAATTGGAATTAAAATACCTCGACCAAAATAACTGCGAGAAAAAAGTACATACGCTTTTAATTCTCATTACGAAATGTTATCAAATAAAAAACTACAGAAAAAAAGAACATTGGCACTAAAATCTCAAGAAACAAAAAAACTGCTGGAAAAGAAACAAACAGCAAGAATAAAATTTCATGGCAAAGATACAAGGCAAACTTCAATATAAAAAAAAATTGCTGTCAAAAAGATTTGTAGGAATTAAAGAGTTCGCAAAATAAAGGCTTATAATTTAAAAAGAAAATAAAACTACTTACGAGTGATAATTTGAGGTCAAAAATTGATTTTTTTTTAAAAAAAAATTTACACCTAAAATCAACCCATAACGTGAATAAAATTTAAAGGGGTGGGGTGGGGGGGGGGGGTATAGAATTTGTCATTCTGTAGATCCCATAAATTCGGCCCAAATTGCTTGAGGCTCTTTGTCCGGATATATAAATTTTATAAATCTGACATTGTTTATACTTTAATTTTTATTGAAAAAATAATATTAAAAAACGAAATAATAAAAAATAGGTAATGTTTTAGCGTCTTTTACTGACGAAGAAAATGATAACTCTAAAATATCCCTGTCACATGACACGGACTCCCCCTTAATCAAAAAAATATTCCTGTTCGATAAATCCTTTTCTGCGATGAAAACATGCCGAAAAATTGTTAAAACACATAGCGCAAATTCGCGGCGAAGTATGCAAAAATTATTCACATTTCGCCGAGAATTCACGCTAACTGTCAATGCAGGGTTCAAAGAAAGGTATTCAAATTTTAATTTGAAAGATACAAAAAATTGATAATTTTGACAAATGTTATTTCTGGGGGAAAGAAAATAGACATGAGAGATTTAATGGCTCGGTTCACCCGAAAGCTTGGCCAGCTGTTTAAGCCAAAAAAAACTTGCCGGACAACTTGTGCAAATTAGATGAGCCATTTTGAAAATGGCCGGCCCAGAATTTCCCAATTTTATTTATCTAAACCTTGAATAATTGCAAATTTATGATTTCTCCTCTTCAAAAAAAAGAATAAAGAGTGATTTTGATTGAATTAAAACAATTAAGACGGTTAATAAATATTCGTACTTCGCCTCCGCTTCCTCATTCCTCCCCATATTTGCTCATACTATTTTCTTATTTTTGTCATTGTGCGTTTTTCCCCAACGACTATTATTTTTAGATTATTATATTGCGGTTTAAGTTACGTTACATATTACATGTAATAATATATTATATATAAAATAAATTTATATATAAAATAAAGGTATTAATCTGACCCATTAACCTAATATGATAAAAAAATAACACTACACACGAAAAAAAAAAAAATAGGAAAAGAGAAAAATTTTTATAATATTTTATTATTATTTTTATTTTTTTATTATAATATAAGTCATAAAAATAAAATAATAATTTCACTTTTTATTTATTTATTTTTTTTCAAAATCACATTATAATATACCATAAAAAAAATTTAAGAAGAAGAATAAAAGTTCAGTTTAATGTTAGTGGGTTAAAAAGAAAGTAAGAAAATCAAAAAATAAAAATTTCTCTTATAGAAGACCCAGTTTAAAGAAATTTAAAAAGATAAAGATGACTTAAAGAAACTTCCTTATTTAAAAAAATTATTATATTAATCAATTTTTTAAAATAATATATATATATAAATAAAAATTCATTTTTTTTTTAGTTTTTAAAACATTTTTCATTGTCAAAAAAATTAATATAAAAGGTTTTTTCCGTTTCACGTAAACTTTTCTTTTATATATATTTATAATAATGTTATTTATATCATTTTCTTTTATAATAAAAATTGCTGTGCTGTATAAGTTACTTTTAGTAAGTTCAAGGCATAACGGCAATGAGTTATTTTAATTGTAATTTTAAAAAGCCAAATTTTTATATATTATATAATCGAGATAATCCAATAAAAACTGATTATTGATTTGAAATTTATAAATTGGGATTTTGTTTTATATTGAACTTGGCTTTGATGCAAAAAAAAATATTAAAATTCACCCTAACTAGATTGGAAAAGACACTAATAAGTTTGAAAGATTATGACTAAAAAAAAGGGAATTGTGAAAAAAATGGTGGCCCTAAAAATACTGCGCAAAAAAAAAACCTCACGAAATAAAGTAAACTGCGCGAAATTGGAAAATAAATCGGTACATATTTAAAAATAAATCAAAACTTTATACATGTTTCTTGTGTTTATATATTCTGACAATCAAAAGCAGCTCATCATGAATTTTAAAATTTTCAATGGACGTCTCCTTCCCCTAGTAATATAGGTCTTTGCCAGCCGCTTAAATAATTTTTTTTACAATGTTTCTGTGCAGGTAATTAATTTTTTCTTTTGGAGAAAATCATAAATTTGCATTATTAAGAGTTTGAAAAAAATTACGAAGTTTCTGATGGGCCCAGGAAATCGTCTCGCATAAATGCCCAGGCTATTTGTATCATTTGCCTGGCTTTGTTTTGGGTATGACCTGATGGTCTGGCATTTTAGCGGGCCTAGTTACGCAGATTTTTAATGCCTATTTTCCCCATCGAAACTTCCAAATTAAGGTTTTGAATACCTTTCATCTAACACCTGCGTTCATGGTTAGCGCAAATTCGTGGTGAAGTATCCAAAATATCATAAGAATATAATAATTTTACATTCATCAATGTATACCTCGATGCGATTTCGCGCTAAATGTGAACGAAGAGTAGGATATTACAGCATTTTTTTCAGTGAGTTTTTTCACTGTACACAGTTTTTATCGAATAACGATTTTTTTTTCTTGATTAGGGAAGACGGAGTCATAAAAACAGGGATTTTGCATTATTGCTATAGTTGTTCTTTTAATAACAGGATAAAAATAAATAAGATCTTTTATTTTAATTATTTTGAATTTTAAAATTATAAATGATAAAATCATCAATTTTTTTTGTAAAGTATTTTAAAAAAACCATTTATTGG